GGTGGGTGTTGAACGATGAGAACACATGGACACAGGGAGGGGAGAACTACACACTGGGGTCTGTTGGGGGGAAATAGGGGAGGGACAGCGAGGAGTGGGGAGTTGGGGAGAGATAGCATGGGGAGAAATGCCAGATATAGGTGAAGGGCAGGAAGGCAGCAAATCACACTGCCACGTGTGTACCTATGCAACTATCTTGCATGTTCTTCACATGTACCCCAAAACCTAAAATACAGTAAAAGAAAAAAAAAAAAGGATGAGCTTTGATGATTGCTCTCAGTTGGTCATTGCCAACTTCGGATGACTGGCTACTACACTCCTCATCATCCTCGTTTGCAAAACTTCTTGAACACTACTGCACTGAACATTTGTTAGCAGTTCCTGGGCCAAATGTGTTGTTGATATTCCAAGTTGTCTCTGCTGCTTTACAACCCATTTTGAACTTGAATAAGAAAATTGCTCGAATTTGCTTTTTGTCTAACATCATTTTCATAGTCTAAAATAAACATTAAAAAAATCAAGAAATAAGCCATTAACAAAAGAAAAAGCGAGAAATGCCCATTAAAATGATGTATAATATCACCACATTTATTTAAGAACATATTCTTGTATCAAACAGCAAATTCCAGCAATGCAAAAACCTCAATTACTTTTACTTATCCATTCACATGTTAATGAATACTTGATTCATTTTCAGCTAGGGGCTGGTAAAAGTAAACCTGCTCCGAACATTCATGCCTAAGTCTTTGATGGACATACGCATTTATTTATCTTGTTTAAAATCACAGGAGTAGATTGGCTGGAGCCTATAGTAAGTGTAGTTTTAACTTTTTAAGAAATGTCTAAGCTGTATTTCAAGCAGCTGTATCATTTTACATTCCCACCATGAGTATATGAGAATTCCAGTATTTCCACACCCTCTTAACACTTCTTGTGGTCAGTCTTTCCATTTGAAGCCATCCTAAGAGGTGTGTAGTGGTATCTCATGTAATTTTAATATGCCCTTTCCTGATGACTAATGATATAGGACATCTTGATTTATACTTATTTATCAAAGAAAAAAAAAACAAAGAAAAATATACTTATTTATCATCTGTATATCTTTGTTGATATATCTATTCAAATATTTTGCCCTTTTTAAATTGGGTTGTTTCCCTATTACTAAGTTTGGAAAAATCTTTATTCTGAATACAAGTCCTTTCTCAAATATATGATTTTCAATTATTGTCTTATATTTTTATTCTCTGAGCAGTGTCTTTCAAAGATCAGAAGCTTTTTATTTTGATGAAGTCCAGTTTATCAATTTGTTCTTTATGGATAGATATGCACTTGGTATCATATCTAAGAAGTCTTTTCTAAACCCAAGTGACAAAAATTGTCTCCTGTTTTCTTCTAAAAATGCCAAACATTTAGGTTTCATATTTAGGTCTCAGCTGTTTTGAGTTTTTTTGAAGTTGGTACAAGGTATGGGACCAAGTTCATTTCTTTTACAAACAGGTATACAGTTGTTGTGGCATCATTCATTTCCTAAAAGAATTGGCTTTGCCCTTTTGTGAAAAATAGTATATATTTATTTGGGAAGCTGAGACGGATGGATCACCTGAGGTCAGGAGTTCAAGACCTGGCCAACATGGAGAAACCCTGTCTCTACTAAATATACAAAAATTAGCCTGGTGTGTTGGTACTTCCCTGTAATCCCAGCTACTGGGGAGGCTGAGACAGGAGAATCGCTTGAACCCGGGAGGCGAGGTTGCAGTGAGCCGAGATAGTGCCATTGCACTCCATCCTGGGCAGCAAGAACAAAACTTCATCTCAAAAAAAAAAAGTACAGATTTAAGTGCAGACATTGGCTATAGGGGTTTTTTGTAGATGCTTTCTTATTTGTTTATGGAAGTGTCCTTTGATTCCTAGAATATTGAGGAATCAAAAAATTGATGTGGTTTTTCGTCAGCTGTTTTTTTCTGTATCTTTTAAGGTGATCAGATGGTTTTTCTCTTTAGTTTTTTAACAGGGTGAATTACATTGGTTGATTTTCTAATGTGAAACCAGCTTTCCATTCCACTAGATCATGATGTACTTTTTATTTTATTATTTAACTTTTTTATTTTATTAGAGACAGAGGACTTGCTATCTTGCCCAGACTGGCTCCAGTGATCGTCTTGCGTCAGCCTCTCAAATAGCTGGAACTATAGGCACATATTACTGTATCTAGTTTAACTTTTTAAATATGACCTCATAAAATGAGTTGGTAAGTGTATACTCCAGCTCGATTTTCCAGTAGAGTTTGTCTAGAATTGGTATTATTGCTTCCTTACATATTTGGTGGAATTCACAAATAAAGCCATCCAGGCCTGGATTTTTCTTTATGAGAAGGTTTTACTTCAAGTTTAATTATTTTATAGACATGGTATATTAGGGTTATTTATTTTGTAAGAGGTCTTTACCAATTGATATCTTAAAAGGAATTTATTCATTTTGTCTAAGTCGTCCAATGTATAGACATAACATGTTAATCCTAGTTCATTATCTTTTTAATATCTATAGAATCTACAGTAATGTTATCTCTGTCATTTCTCATGGCTATAATTTGTTGTCTCCCCTTTTTATTGTGTTCAGTCAAGCTAGGGAGTGATATATTAAACTTCTCAGAGAATCAGTTTTGGGTTTTATTGATTCTCTCACTATTGTTTTTTTGTGTTTTCTGTTACTGATTTCTACATGAAGTTTTATTTCCTTTCTTCTACTTACTTTATATTTAACTGGTTATTTGTCTGTTTTCTTAAGGTAGATGCTAAAATAATTGATTCAAAACCTTTCTTCTTTTCTAACAGAGGTATGTAGTGCTATAAATTTCTCACTAAGTACTGCCTTACCAGCAGCCAACCAATTTTTATATGTTTTCATTTTTATTCTTTTTTTTTTTTTTAAGACGGAGTTTCACTCTTGTTGCCCAGTTTGGGGTGCAGTGGTGCAATCTCGGCTCATTGCAACCTCCACCTCCTGGGTTCCAGTGATTTTCCTACCTCAGCCTCCCAATTAGTTGGGATTACAGGCATGTGCCACCACACCCAGCTAATTTTGTATTTTTAGTAGAGATGGGGTTTCTCCATGTTGGTCAAGCTGGTCTTGAACTCCCGCCCTCAGATGATCTGCCTGCCTCAGCCTCCCAAAGTGCTGGGATTACAAGCGTGAGCCACCACACCCGGCTCATTTTTACTCATTTTTAAATACTTTCTCATTTCCCTTTTGATTTTCTTTGAACCCTTAGGTTATTTAGAATTACGTTATATAGTTTATATTATAATCTTTGTGTGGATCTTTCAAAGGTTTTTCTCTTAATACTTTGTAACTTCTATCTTGTTCAGGTAACATGCTTCTAAATTTATTGTAAGATGTTTTATGGTCCAGTATATGGTCTATACTGGCAGCTATTTCTTGTGCACTTGAAAAGAATGTGTGTCCTAATATAAGAATTTTGATAGATATAGCATTATGAAATTTAAGGTAGGGGCCATCCTTTTGGGTTTTTTTCCCTGCTTAAGATTTTCAGTCTTTCCAATGATAGTTTGTTAAAAAAAAAAAAAAAAGACAGTTTTTTTTTTAATTCTTAAGGCTAAACTTCAATTTTGAATTGTCACCAGTGATAAAAAGGTTTGCAAGTTGCTAATAGCTACAGGAAAATCAAATACAGTCTACCCCAAATATTTTTCTACTTATTCATGCAGAAATCACCAAAACTCAGTGTGAAAATAAAAAATTAAACAAGGAGACTAAAATATTTTTATAAGTACAGCTTAAGCCAGATTATAGATAGTCTGCAATGGAAACAGCCTAGTTTCATAACAAGGTCAAAGGGGGAAAGATCCACATATCAGTCTTTGAGGCTATCTGACTTTGATAGCCTTTGAAGTTCAAACTATTCTCTCTTTTATCTGTAACTAATTTCATGGAAAACATGTTACTACGTGATTCCAAACCTCCTTATTTTTTAGCCTGCAGAAACTGACATCTTTTAGTAGCCCTATAACAAGTTCAGAACCCTGATTTGATGTCCCCTGCCATAATTTTCTAACCAGTATTCCAAAAATAGCAGCCAAAAGCCTAAGGAAAGGGCAGTTGTGGGAAGAAAAGAGATAGAAGATCATACTTTCTATAACTTTAGGATTCCAAGATCTATATATTAACGGTATTACAGTGTAATGTGTGACACATGTGGAACTAGATACGACGAGGGGAAATATGTCTAGTCCAAACTGACGTGTGCTGTTAGTATGAAATACACACTGGATGTTGAGGACTTAGTCCAAAAAAGGAGTGTAAAATATCTGATTAGTGATTTTTATATTAGTTTTAAGTTGAATTATCATATTTTAGATGTGTTGGGTTAGATAAAAGACATTTAATTACTGTTTCCTTTTACTATTTTGAATGAGGATACTAGAAAATATTAAATTACACATATGGCTCACATCATACAGATCCTGCTTGACTTAGAGTAGGGTTACATCCTGATAAACTCTTCGTAAGTTGAAAATATCATAAGTTGAAAGTGCACTTAGGCCGGGTGCTGTAACTCATGCCTATAATTCCAACACTTTGGGAGACTGAGGACGGAGGACTGCTTGAGCCCAGGAGTTTAAGACCAACCTGAACAACATAGTGAGACCTCATCTCTATGAAACATTCAAAAAATAGCTGGAAATGATGATGTGTACCTGTGTCCCAGCTACTTGGGAGACTGAGGCGAGAGGATTGCCTGAGCCTGGAAGGTGGAGGCTGCAGTGAGCTGTGATCATGCCACTGCATTCCAGCCTGAGTGACAGAACAAGAGCCTGTCTCAATCAGTCAATCAATAAAAATAAGAAAATGCATTTAATACACCTAGGCTACTGAACATCATAGCTTCGCCTAGCCTACTTTAAACATGCTCAAAACACATTAGCCTACAGTTGGGCAGAATCATCTAATACAAAGCCTGTTTTATAATAAAGTGTCAAATATCTCCTGTAATTTATTGAATACTATACTAAAAGTAGAAAATAGAATATTGTGTGGAACTCCAAGTATACTCTGTACTGAATGCATATCACTTTCACATCATCTTAAACTCAAAAAATTGTTAAGTCAAACCATCGTAAGTCTGGGACCATCTGTATTTCAGTCAGACATCATTGCTGTAGAAACCCATGCTCAAACTTTAGCTTAAGACACTAGTCTTGCTTTACTTTACTATCATTCATTTTCCTTTGATCCTGATGATAGAAGCTCCTGGAATGGTGGTGGATGTAAGTAAGAACAATTGAGAGCATCAAAGCCATTACAGAGATTTAGGAAAAATTGCTTTTTAATTAATGGAACTAGCATGAAATTCGACCTAAGCTAACAAATCTGGTCTCTAATTCTCTGCCTCACACTTTATACTTCAGTGAAATACACTTAGTTTGGATTTTATTGCAATATTTGATTGAAATTTAGGTGGCTGTTTGGAGCCAGGAACTAGAGATTCTTTTTTTAAAGGGTAAAGAAAATCAGTTTGGTACAGATACTTTGCTAGTAAGGGGTTACATTCCAAAGTGTACTGCTAAACCCTTTCTCCTGCAATTCACAGCATGATCTCCATGTGCCAGGAGGAGCCTGGCTAGGAAATGGTGACTTAGAACCGAGTATTGCTTTAGAGGCAAGAAAATATGTCCCGTTGTAAATAGCTTTTCATTCTTTAAGGTTACTTACTCAAACAACTTTTGACAAATTCAAAATTTCACAACGATAGTAAACTGTGGCCATTATGTTTCTAAGAACTACATTTAGACTGAAACCATTATAGCCACATTTTTTGAGAGTCTCATCCATCACTAAAGTCTGTCTCACTGTAGGTAAAATCCTGCCACTGGATTTAAATTGCTTAGTCCCTCCATTGTAGAGCTCAGCATACCTTGCCTGTTTTGTTGTTGTTTTTAAATAGGATGTAACCAAAATGTAGGTTTAGTTGCTTGCCAGGTGCAGAGTCCAACTAATGAGAGAGATATAGCATAAAGAAAATGACTTTTTATTCCAAAGCTAGCTTAGAGGAAGAAGTACAGGCTTCCTGCCTTAAGGGTACTGCTTCACTTTTGGAGCAGAAAGCAGGTGCTTTTAAAAGGGGGTTTGGCATGAATGGCATGCAGGGGAGAAAGCAAGAGGAGGGGATCCACATGACTTGCTTCAGTATCCTATCTACCCGGCATTTGAGCTGGTGACCACTGGTGTCTTTGTAGGCAGAACTAGGTTGTAAAGGTAGCAGAAACTCTCCAGGTAGGAGAAAGTTTCCTAGTGGGCATAGTTTGGGTTTCAGACTGACTGTTGTCTCTCGAGGCAGCCTCCTGGTTGGTGAGAGCTCCATTCTGGAGCTTCTAAGCACGTAGTTAAATGAACTTACTCTGTAGGGAGTGTCTGGTGAAGGGGAGGTAAAAGGTTATAATTGCATTTCTAAAGGGCTAAGTAGGAAGAGGAAAAGAGGGAGAAATGGAGAAAAGAAAAAAATAGCTCATTCTCTCTCAGAAAAATGGGGGTGCTCAGTTACAAGGATATGTTTCAAAGCAAGTCCTTTAGTTTTTTCACTATACTACAGATGGTCTTTAAATTATAATGGTGTTTGGCCTATAACCATATAACATTTCTTTAAATTTGTTTGAAAGAAAAAAAAATTTTGTATTCATATAAATAATGATAAACTAGTTTAATTTGGTAAAATTCTATTGAGACAAAACATAATGCTTAAAGTGAAAATCAGTAGACCTCATTTTTAATGCAGATATATGTGTAAAAGCTATATATAAGTTATAGTCATAGATTAAACTAAGAATAGCTAAAGAGGCTGGGCACAGTGGCTCACACTTGTAACCCCAGCACTTAGGGAGGCTGAGGCAGGTGGATCGCTTGAGGTTATGAGTTCAAGACCAGCCTGGCCAACATGATGAAACCCTGTTTCTACTAAAAATACAAAAATTCGCTAGACATTGTGGCAGGCACCTGTAATCTCAGCTACTCAGGAGGCTGAAGCAGGAGAATTGCTTGAACCCGGGAGACAGAAGTTGCAGTGAGCCAAGATAAAGCCACTGCACTTCAGCCTGGGTGACAGAGTAAACAACATCTGAAAAACAAACAAAAACAAAATAAAACTAAAGAATAGCTAAATAGATACATAGAACAAAATGGGAGGCCAGAAATAGACCTACATATATATAGATAATTTATTTTTAACAAAGGCATGATAATTCAAGGGGAAAGCATAGTCTTTTCAACAGATGGTACTGGAACAGGACATCCACGTGGGAGAAGTGAAATTCAACTCTTAGCTAATATCATTTATAAAAATTAAGTTGTAGACCTAAATATAAGCGCTTATGCTATACAACTTCAGAAGAAAACATAGGGGAACTAATTTTGACCTTGGGGTAAAGCAGGGATTTCTTAAAACACAAAAAGCCCAAACCATAAAAGAAAAAAAATGATAAATTGTATTTTATCAGAATTTAAACCTTTTTTACAAAATATACTGTTGAAAATGAAAATGCAAACCACACACTAGGAGGAAATATTGGCAAAACATATCTGTCAAAGGTCTTATATTTTTAAATATCTAAAGAATTCTTACAAAATATTAAAACAAGCCACTGGATTTTTATTAAAGATAAAAGTTGAGCAGACAGTTTATCATAGAGGATATATAGATGTATATAAGCACATAAAAATTGGTTCAATATCTTAGCCATTAGGGGAATGCAAATTAAACCTTAAAGATGCCACTACACATACTAGAATGGCTAAAATAAAAACACTGAAAATACCAAGTGCTGACAAGGAAGCAGAGATGCCAGAACTGTCAAATAAAATAGTACAACCTATCTGGAAAACAGTGGCAGTTTATCATAAAGTTAAAACATATTCTTACCATGTGACCCAGCCATCTCATTCCTAGGGATTTACCCTGGAAGGAAAAAAAATGAAGACTTACATTAACACAAAAACCTGTATGTGAATATTAATAGCAGCTCTATTTGTAATTCCCAAAATCTGGAAACAACCCATATGTCCTTCAACAGATGCATGGATAGACAAACAGGCACATGTATACAATGGAGTACTACTCAGCAATAAAAATGAACTGTTATATAATATAATGTGGATGAATCTCAAAGATGTTGTCATGAGTGAAAAAAGCCACTCTCAAAAGGTTATAAATAGTGCAATTTCATTTACATAACATTCTCAAAAAGACAAAACCATAATGTCAGGGAAGAGACCAGTAGTTACCAGGGACTAGGGGTAGCAGGACAACATGACCATAAACAGATAGCAGTGAGAAATGTGGGGAGTGATAAGACTGTTCTATATTCTGAATCTTGGCTGTGATTATATGATCTAATGTGGTTATATGCTAGAATCCATAGAACTATGTAGCCAGAAAATAAGTCCACTTTAGTATATATTATTTTTTAAAAAAATAAAAGAAAATGTTAAGTATTTTTTCTCAGTACTCTGAAAACATTGCTGTTTGTGATTTTCTTTTTCTAAGTAATTTCAGCTTTTGGATTCGGGGGTACATGTGCAGGTTTGTTACACAAGTATATTGCATGATGCTGAGGTTTGGGTACAAATTGATCCCATCACCCAGGTAGTTAGCATAGTACCCAACAGTTTTTCAACTCTTGCCCCCTTCCTTTCCCACCACCTCGGTAATGCGCGGTGTGATTTTCTATCATCTAACCTTGTTGAGCTGTTTTTCTCCCCCAATTCTTGTTTCTTTGTAGATGAACTGCTTTCTCTCTCTCTCTCTCTGTCTCTCTCTCTCTCTCTCCGTCTCTCTCTCTCTCTCTCTCTCTCTCTCTCTCACACACATACACACACACACACACACAGCTTTTAGAATCTTTTCTTTGTCACTGGTGTAATGAAATTGCACCACAATATGTCTCAGTTTAGTTCTCTTTCATTTGTTTTATGTAGACTGTCTGCCTCTGAAGATTAAATTTTTTTAATTATTTCTTTTACTTTGTCCCATGTGCCTTATCTATTCACTGTTTCCAGTACTCCTGTTAGGTATATTTTAGAAGCTTTAACTTCATCCTCTATATTTCATAATTTTTTAAAATTCCTAAATATAGAAGTAAAATAAAAGAACACAGAAAATTTTCTTCAAGCCCTTCCAGTGCATTTTAATTGTAACAATTATGTTTTTAATTGGTTTTTCATAGCTGTATAGTTTTAAACTCTCTTGAGGATATTATTTATAACTTATTAGAGAGTTTCTTTTTCCTGAATTATGTTTCCACAGACACCATTTTTATATTCAGTGCAATATCTTATTGCACTTACGAGGTGAGAGAACATTGGGATTTCAAGCACAAATACTGGAGTAAGACTACCCAGATTCAAATTCTGGCTCTGCCATTTGTGATCATGTAATTTCAGGCAAATAATTAAACCTCTGAGAGGCTTAGTTTCTTCATCAACAAAAAGGACATAATTTCAGTATCTTATCTAATTGAGACATTGTAAAGATTAAATGAAATATTATCTGTAAATTCATACTTAGAATATGTGTGATACTTAATAAACACTTAATAAATGTTAGCTATTATTACCATAAGCCAGATGCAGTGTTCTAGTTTCCAGGCAAATAAAGTTGAAACTGACTTGGTCCATTCAAAGAACTTAAAATAAAGCTTGCTATTGTTTGTCAAGCCTAGCATTCACCTTCTATCTCAATGGGAGTCATTATACATATAAATAACAGTGATATTCAAAACTGTGATACATCCTTTATGGTTTTTTTTGTTTTGTTTTGTTTTTTGAGATGGAGTCTCCCAGGCTGGAATGCAGTGGCATGATCTCGGCTCACTGCAACCTCTGCCTCCTGGGTTCAAGCAATTCTCCTGCCTCAGCTTCCTGGGTAGTTGGGATTACAGGCATGCAGCACCACACTCAGCTAATTTTTGTATTTTTAGTAGAGACGGGGTTTCACCATGTTGGCCAGGCTGGTCTAGAACTCCTGACCTCATGATCTGTCCGTCTTGACCTCCCAAAATGCTGGGATTACAGGTGTGAGCCACCACCCAGCCTGTTTTGTTTTTTTGTTTGTTTTGGTTTTTGTATTTTTTTGAGACAGAGTTTTGCTTTTGTGTCCCAGGCTGGAGTATAATGGCACAATCTCAGCTCACCACAACCTCCACCTCCCGGTTCAAGCGATTCTCCGGCCTCAGCCTCCCTAGTAGCTGGGATTACAGGCATGCACCGTTACCACATCTGGCTAATTTTGTTCTTTTTTTTTTTTTAGTAGAGGTGGAATTTCTTTATGTTGGTCAGGCTGATCTCAAACTCCCAACTTCAGGTGATCTGCCCACCTTGGCTTCCCAAAGTGCTGGGATTACAGGTGTGAGCCACCTTGCCTAGTCTTTTTGCTTTTTGAGATGGAGTTTCGGTCTCGTTGCCTGGCGTGGAATGTAATGGCACAATCTTGGCTTACCACAACCTCTGCCTCCCGGGTTCAAGCAATTCTCCTGTCCTAGCCACCTGAGTAGCTAGGATTACAGGCATGCACCACCAAGCCTGGCTAATTTTGTAATTTCTTTTTACTACAGACAGGGTTTCTCCATGTTGGTCAGGCTGGTCTTGAACTCCCAACCTAGTTGATCTGCCCGCCTCCGCCTCCCAAAGTGCTAGGATTACAAGATGTGAGCCACTGTGCCTGTCCTCCTTTATGGTTTTATAGGTTTATTTAGTGATAAAATATAACCTGAGGCTGAAGCTGTAATAAAATCCTTTTGCCTATTTTTTGCTTAACATTGTACTTGGAAAGAATGGAGAAATATGGGGGCAGGCATATGAAGGTACCAAGGAGAAAGCATGTAAATGACAAAACAAAGCATGGAAGGGCTTATTCAGCCATATTAGATATGGTTGGTGTAGAATAGACGTATGATGTAGAATAAGAAGTATGGTGCAGATTAGAAGATGATAAACTAAATAGGTCGACTAGACCTGCAGCTTGTAGTAGGGGCCCATATGATTGGGTGTGTATAGAGGTGTATCCGTACCATGGAGGCCTAGTAAGCCTGACAGAAGAGTTTGGTCATTATTCTGTAATGGTTAGAAAATAGCTGTATTTTTGAACAGGAGAATAATACGATATAAAGAGGAATTCGTGCTTTTAATTTTTGTCCTTATGTAGAAGATGCAAATGTTTTCAATGTTTTGGGCAACTGAAAATATCTTTTTTTCTGAGCTGTGTCTAAACTAAACTCTAAAGGAAAGTCAGTTCTGTAACACATTGTTCCTTTCCATCTAATTTTTTCCTTTCCTTTTTTTCTTTTTTTTTTTTTTTGAGATGGAGTTTCTCTCTTGTTACCCAGGCTGGAGTGCAATGGTGCAATCTCGGCTCACCACAACCTCTGCCTCCTGGGTTCAAGCAATTCTCCTGCCTCAGCCTCCAGAGTAGCTGGGATTACAGGCACGCGCCACCATGCCCAGCTAATTTTTTGTATTTTTAGTAGAGACGGGGTTTCACCATGTTGACCAGGATGGTCTTGATCTCTTGACCTCGTGATCCACCCGCCTCGGCCTCCCAAAGTGCTGGGATTACAGGCTTGAGCCACCGCGCCCGGCCTAATTTTTTCTTTAATATTTAAATATAGCATTTTTTAGAGATTCCAGAGTGTTATCAAACCAGAATGTTGACCACAACAGTTCAAAGATATATAGGTTAAAATATGAAGTAATTGAGGATAATGGGAAATTAAGATTGCTGGGTTCACTCTTCAATCATAGCAGGAAAATTAAAGGTAAATTACAAAGCAAAGTTCAGAATACAACATGTTTAAGTATTCATGACCTTGCAAGTTTATAAAATGCCTGGTATGTTTATTGCTACAGTGCTAATATTTGGCCAAAGCACAGGGGTCTTCAGGATGTATATTTATGGACTGATTCCCCAACAGATAACTGCACAATTCTGGAATGCTGTTGCTGTGTCAATAATTGTAGACTTATGTTCTAAAACTTTTCCCTTCCAACCTAATTAACTTAAAATGTCTCTAATGTGATTTCCAAAGAATTTTATATTTATATTTTGCAATTAGCATTTGACTGGCGCACAGGTTTGAGACATGCGCTACAATGTGTAAACATTTTGCAAGATAATAAATAGCGCCTACTAGTCTAAATGTTTTATGACTGCCTACTCCCTGCTAATTGGTAATGGATTGAAATTCCCCATTGTTTAATTTTTTTAATTTGTCGGAAATTATTATAAATGAGTGTGTAGGGCTTCATATCACAGCTGTTGTCATTTAAAGTTTGGACAATGTCATTACAAATGAAACCCTGCTGTGAAATTAAAGTCAAAAGGCATCTTGGCATCCCAACCATTTCCTTGGGAGAAGATTACAGCTCAAGTCTGTTGAACTTTATTGCCTTGGGCCTCATGACAGTCATCAGAAACATGCAAGGCATTTCTGTTAAAGAAATTCAGATGTGCTAGGACACAGATGACATTCTTGTGCATAACGGTGTCCTAAGGGGGTGAGGAATAAGTCAGGAAGAAAAAGATCATTCACACTTTTTGCTGCATTCTGGAATTATATATAAAATCCACGAAGAAGATGGAGACCTTGCAGTGATACCACAGAGGAAAAAGGTGTGGTGTTTTCCTGCATGGCCTGACTATATTTTATTTTATTTTATTTTTGAATAGCAAATAGTTTATTGGTGTGCACATGGTTTCAACATGAATAATAAATTCACATGACCAGGAGACAATAATTAATTCAAAAGAATAAATGCTTACTAATCATCAGAAAATCTGTGGCCATTAGGACTGGCACATAAAAATCCAAAATCACTCAGAGACCAAATCTTAAAGATTTGTCCTCTTATTAATCCATATGGAATAGGTCTGTAGCACCTAGAATCTGTAGAATTCTATAGATT